ACATTTCGACTTAAAAACCAAAAAATGTTAGGTAAGCGTGCAAATAATTCTCTGGGACAATACTCATTAACTCTGCCTTAATAATTCCCATTCCCTTAATACCTTCCAAAATTCAATTTTTCTAAGATGATGACAAAACTATCAGGTTAGGATAGCAAGAGGGGGAAGGGAGAGAGCAATGTAGGGAGGGAACACAACAGACTGTGGTAGAAACTAGGTGTCTTAATGGCAAGTGTGGTATGGTAACGTATGAAAGGTGATATCCTGCATCTCTAAATAATATACAACGTTGTAAACCAATGGATGTTACCTACCTAGATACAAAATTTAAAATATAAAGTATTAATTTTTATAATCACATGTAATGTAAATAAATGAACAGCATCTTGATAAAATCCATTATTTCTAATCTGTTAACTCAAAAAAATTAATTTTGAGTATTTCTGCCTGTCATGGAACTATTAAAAAGGAAGGCATTTTTGACTCAGCTATTTAGTTGGCTTTAAAATGTAATTATTTCAATTACATTAAAATTAAGGAATTTGATAATTTTTTTGAAGATTTTTTTTAAATCTTTTTTTTTTTTAAGATTTATTTATTTATTTATGCTAGCACTGGGTACAGTCAGAAGCACAGGAGGGTGAGACAATTCACCAGAGCCAGAGTAGAGAGCAGAATAGGCAGACAGACAAAGTACACTGCTGAGAGGAGCAGCGGGCTGCAGGAGAGGTCTGTGCACCATGTGGTACCCTCGCCCAGCGGCAGCCAGGGATTGAACCGGCGCTGCAGATCCTGTGGGCAGCTTCACAACTCTGTGCTCAAATGCTGCGCCACCAGGGAAGCCCAGATTTTGATAATATTTAAATTATGTAGTACAATACATGAAAATTCTAAGTATATTATTACATCACCATTTATTCATACTATTGTTAATGTAACTTAATATTAAATGAAGTCAGCAATGTCTTGCTGGAAATTCAATCCTTGTACTTAATCTCATCTCAGGGATTCATCTGGCTTCTCCTCTAATAACAATATGGAACACATAAAGACATGAAAGCTAAAGAATTAAACCTAGGATTATTATTCCTTCCAAGATGGAGGATTACATACTATTGAAGTCATTCACATTAAAAATACAATTAAATATTTTTAAAATAAAATATAATTACATCTATGTACATACATGTGGGTGTGTGAAATAAGTCAGAGAGAGGAAGACAAATACCATATTGTATCTCCTATATGGAATCTTTAAAAAACTCATACAGAAAACAGAATGATGGATGCACAATGGAAGAGGTTTGTAGGTGGGCAAATAATTGGGGATATAATCATGGCAAATCATGGGGATATAATGTCAGCATAGTGACCATAGTCAAAAAAAATTGTATAGCATACTGGAAAGTTGCCAAGAGTTTAAGTCATAACTGCTAATTTTGTTTAGGCATAGGTGGTAACTAGATGAGTTGCATATATTTTGCAAAGTATAGAATTAACAACTCATGTTATATACCCTATACCATTCTAATGTTATATAGCAATTATATCTCAATAAAGAAAAGTCTTTTTACTGGGCTTTTACAAAGTACGGTGAACTGTGAACATTTTAGAGGTCAAAAAATGAATTAAGGACTCGGAAAAGATAGCGAAAGAGACCTTAGGACTAATTTTTAAACTCAACGACATACTTGATTGAAATAGATTATTCACAATGAAATTATTTTGCTTTATGAATATAACACATTTGTAAGACAGATTTTCCAAATTTTCATGTTTTTTTTTTTTTTCCTGAACTTTTTAGGTTCTCTACTGTCTGTCCTTTGAGATACAAATTTGAAACATTTTATCATTTTTGATTGCTGAGTAGTACTCCATTGTGATAGGTCTTGATCCACTCATCTGTTATTAAGCCATTTAGGTTGTTTCCTTATCTTGACAGTTGTAAATAGTGTTCCTGCCATTTGTGGCAACATGGATGGGACTAGAAGGGATTATTCTAAGCAAAGTGAGCCAGAAGGAGTAAGATAAATACAGATGGCTTCACTTGTACATGGAATCTAGAAAAACCAAATGATCAGATAAAATTAACTGCAAGACTAATCCTTGAAAGCAGATGATAGATCTGAGACACTCAGGAGGAGAGCTGGAGGGAGAGGGAGTGAGTCGAGAAGGCGGGGAGGAGAGTGGAGTGGAGTGTGTTGGAGGACTGTGGGCACATTGATGGTGGGAAAACTGTGGTGGTCATACCTGAGGAGAGAAATCCTATATTATGGAAAATTAAACAAGGGTATTTTAAATAAAATTTTTAAAATGTGACCATTTTCGTGATTTGTGTCTGCATATCCATAAATATTCATATACATATGTATACTCAGAGATTCTAAAACTAAATACTCAATGATTATGTGTCCACACTCCAAAATTAACAGTGACTCTGTGTGCAAATCCATTTATATGTGATTCAGGAAATTGTAATTAAACATTAATTCATATGCAGACAACTATCGAAATGCCAAAACCTTTTTTAATTCAGCTTATTGCATCTGACTTTCAAAGCAGAAGAGACATATGGCTCTAAATGTATATTAAACACCATAAAACATTGGAATTTTTTCAGAAACATTTTAACACTTTTAAATTGTTTCTTACAAACAAAAAACAAGATTACGATATTAATTTTATTTTTGACCAATTGGAATTTTGTTCAAACATTGAAAGTTATTTATGTTATTTCAAACATAACTATTCATACTCAAGCATTTTAAAATTATAAATGTCATATCAATATCTATTGATAAATTCCATGGTGCTAATCACTGCTCTTCCTTCCCTGGTCCCATCTCTGCTGCAGTTGATGAGTCCATAATTTCTAAGCCCAGCCTCTGTCAGTTTCACAGCCAGTTCTGAATGTACCTAACATTAAATTAGGTTTAGGATGCCTATGACCTTCTAGGCAGTATTTTTCTAACTTTGGAATGTTAAAGAAAATATTTAAGACATTTTTTGCATAGATAAGGTTGATTTTATTCATGGAGATAATTGCCTTAAGTACTCTGGGGTTTTCCAAGAAGAGAGAGAGATTGAGGTCAACTCCAACTAGAAAAGAATTTATAGCAAAGACTTAGGGTGTGGCAAAGCACAGGGCAGTAATTAATGGATAGAAGACTTACTAAGGAAACATCTTGCAGGCCGGGGAGTCTGGTTAAATGAACCTACAAGATTCTTCCTGAAGGCAGGCTGGAGTGATCAGACATCACTTAGAGGATGGGAAATTTGGTCATTTATAGAGGGTGGGGTATAGTGGATTAACTACTTAATTGGGCTCCTGTTAAAAGTTATGCACATAGATAGGGACTATTCAAAAGAGAGGGCAGCGGAGACAGACCAGAGTTTGGTCCAGAAGAGAATCTTTGAGAGGAAAAGATCTATTTCCTGCTAAGCTATTATCTCTTTAGGAATTCAATTTCTAATTATACTGTCCTTTAAAATGTCAATAATGTGAAATATGATGAAAGATACAATAAAAATAAATCACTGTATCTTTTTAATCTGCCAAAATATTGCAGTTGTTTACTCATTTTATCTTGTGCTTGAATTATTCTTCACCCAACCATATACATTTTATAACATTGAGATCACCAAGTAGAACTATGTCTCAAATTTTGGATTTTTTATTTGTTTTTCTTCTAAAATGTAGTTTTACTGTATAAAAATTTGGGGGAGGGCCTCCCCTGGTGGCGCAGCGATTGAGTGCTGGGCTGCAAAGCGGCCTGCAGGCTCTGCAGCGCTGGTTTGGTCCCTGGCTGCCTGCGAGGCTCCCACATGGCGCGACAGACCTCTCCTGCTGTGCCCATTGCTCCCCTCAGCAGTGTATTTCATCAGTCTGCCTGTTCTGTTCCCTGATCTGGCTCTGGTGAATTCTCTCACCCCCTGCTTCTGATTGTACCCAGTGCTTGTATAAATAAATAAATAAATCTTAAAAAAAAAAAAAAAAAGAATGACTTTAAAAAAAAATTGTGGGGGAAAGAAGGTTTGTTTTTAAGTCTGATATATTCAATAAAAATTAGGTCATCAAGGATTGAAACAGCCAGAAGAATAAAATAACTTAAAATAGAAATATTACAGAATTTAGTCTTAAATTTGCTCAATAGGAGATATTTACAGATAGTGTATTATAGGTAAATTAACAGAAAATGTCTTCAGTGTTGTAGACTCTATTATATAGTAAGGGAAATATACCAGAATCAGTTAAATGCATATTTTTTTTAACCGATCTACTTACATAAAATTGTTTGGTTTGTCACATAGAGATAGTTTCTCTGTATATTATACTGGAGGGTTTATTTGACCATGGTGTGTAGGATGCAGTTTGTAGCTTTATATATGGTGACCAAGAAGAGCATAAAAGAGAAAATAACGTTTTCTCAACGGCTTCCAGGAAACACCAAATCGATTACTGTTCTTTAAAAAACTTACCTGGAAGCCTTCTAACCATTCTTCACGTGTCCCAGTTGTATCCCTATAATTTGTCATTACACTACAGCTTAATGGGATTCAACACTTTAACACCACTGCTACCAAAATGTGAAATCTTGGTATACTGAATATTTTAAACTTACCTATTTTAGGAAAACAGCAGAATCTGGAAGATTACTTTGATCTTTCCTTCCCAGCCTTCTCCCATCAAACAGGTTATAAAACCCTTATGTGAAAAAAATGATCTCTTTATACCCAGGGGAAAGGAACATCCTCTCTCCAAAAGCAAAGCAACCTGAGAATCCTGAGTAGGCTGACTGTCACCCATTTCACGCTAACCTCACACTCTCTCACCTAGCCTATTTTCTGTGACTGCCCACTCTTCATAAAACCTAGCATAAGTATACTCAGCTCTGATTCTTTTACTATTTGACCTTATGAAGAATCCCAGGTAACATAAAATTTACAGTAAATTTCCATGGTTTTCTATGTTAACTTGTCTTTCTTTGTTTTATTTTCAGATTTAGTCAAGGACCTTAAGAAGATGAGGGAATTTTTTCTTCTCTACTGGTCCACGGTAGGAGTTTCTGTTCTAATATTTTATAAGCATGATGTGATATGCTTGAATGAGGCTAACAAATGATGACTAACTTCATAAATCTAATTTCATATCTTAAAATATGAAGCTTTGCATAGACTACAGTAATCTGTTTTCATCAGGGTATGTTTATATCCTGATGATCTGATTGAGGTTAGTGGCATTATTTTGAGGGAGAGATGATCTCTGACTATATTGTGGTTTTAATAAAAGTTTTCTATTTCTTTTAACATTTTTTTCCAATAAAATTGCCAATTTCAAATAGATTTTCAATTCTGTTGGTCTAAAGTTATATAATGTATTTTGGTCTAAAAGTACTCATAATTTATTTTCTTAATAAATTTGATAATAGCTACAATGAGGCACTCATTTTTTAAATTTCAGAAGCTATTTGTATATCCTTTTCCCTTAAGTTGTTTGTCAAAGTTGGCCTATTTTATTTTTGTTTTCAAAAATCAGTTTTTAGTGCTGCTAAAAATTATTTCCCTTTTTGTTTGGTTTTTAATTTTGTGTTATTAGTATATTATACCCTCTCTATTTTTATCTTTTTAGTGGATGCTTAGTACATACTTTTCATATTTTTGTGTAATAGGTTATGAATTTCTGAGGCCATAAATTACCCAATGACTAATAGATTGTCAAAGTCAATAACTTTTGATATATAATCTTAATTTTTACTACCTTTTTAAATAAAATATGAATATGACATTCTACTTTACATTATTTGAATATATTTTACTTTCAATTTGTTTTATTTTATTATATTAATAATGCTAGAGTTGAAAACATATAGGCTAAAATTTATTTTCTGTCAATTCATTTCCAAATTTTCTGTTGGTATTTGTGATTTATGATTATAAAAATGTATTGTATTTTATATGAAATTTATTCCTGCACAGTGTTTCTATTTACACTTGATGCAGAAAATTAGTAATTTTAGCATTTTCATAGTATAAGTGCAAAATATAATTATCACATTGAATAGATATTTGTGTCTCAGCAATTGTCTCTATAAATAACTGAAGCACTTTTGTTAATTGAAATTATTTCACAATATTCTAAAGACTCCCCAAATCTCTGTTCTAGAGTGAATAATTTTTAATTATTTCTTCTACACTCTCTATTTGCAATTACTTAACTTTAACTCATGTATGTATATAACTGTCATCAAGCTTGTCTTTCCTTTGCAGTGTTTTAATGTTTATGCATGGGCTGTGTTCTAGGACTTAATTTTGGTTAATATAAATAGAGCTGAAATCAGCTGGGAAAGGGAAAAAGCAATTTTCAAACTAAGGATATTTGCAAAAATGTATCCTTGTCACAAATCCATACACATTTTAAAAATAATTTCTTGAAAAAAGGGTTAAAGTGATTTACATAAATCATGTATATAAAAATTTACAACACTTCCTCTGTTTTACATTTTAAGAAAATGCTAATTTGTCTTTTCACTATTTTCTTTCTAACTCATTCAGATATAGCAAAAGAAAACTATGCTATCAAAAGCAATATTAATATGTGTTTGAAGAACATATGCTATTAGTTCAAAAACGCAGAGTTGTAATTAAAATTTTTGAACAAATCTTGTCAAAACTTATGAAGATACTTGAATAAATATGCTGATTCTTTTATATTAGGTGAAATTGTTTTTATAATTTGCATTCCTCATTTACCCTAAATCTAAAATGTAGCCCATACTTTTCCTAGAAGTTGTAAACTCTTATTATCAGCACTGTTTGAGCTGTAAATGTGCTTCCTAGTAAAGATCTATTGCCTGCTTGTGGTGGATCTCTTTCTGCTTGATTGATTTCTAGGAATACATGAAGGCAAACTATGTAATAGGTTGTAGAGTAGCATTCCCTTTGACCTCAAATTGGTGAAAAAGCCTTAAAGTGAGCAAAGAGAATTCTATAATACTATTTTCAAAAGAAAGTTACAACTTCTAGTCACACTTATTTTAGGGCTTATAAATAAGTGACATAGAGTTTACTTGATTGTTACTGAGTCTTGATCAAACATTATTGATGTTTTCTCCATATCTTCTCTGTTCATTTGAGTTTAAATCCATAACAGTACAGTAGGCAGCATCTGACAGATTTCCATCTAATGGTTGCCCCTTGCCTCTTCATGCTTGCATGCTTTGCCTGTAACCGCATAGTTTGTTGGCTTATAAGTAGATTATAAGTAATTCTGAGCTGTTGAATGGATACTTTCCTGGTAATTTTCAACTAATACAGAAATAGAATGGAATTTTCAATGGAAACTCCAGTCTCAACATTTACATTGAGACTGAGCACTAGTTGTTCCCAGTGATAAAACTCAATAACATCCCTGTTTAATGTGTTTTGTTTGTTTTTTTTCCTCTCTCTTCCCTCTATTTTGGTCTTCCTGTCTTTTGTGCTTTAGGGTTAGTGTTCAATTATACTACCAAGAAATCCTTCTCTCATAATCTGTGTTTGAGAGAAAACCCAGTTAAGACTGCCCTTTCTGATATACAGGTATACACTGATATATACATATACATACACTGATATACAGGTAGAACATTGGAAGGATAGAGGGGGGAATTATGGGAACTGTGAATCAGAATGTGAGAGAAAGCTGTCATTAATCCTTCCTCATTTAATTGAGTGAAATGCATCTTTTAATTTTCAAACCAAAAGATGGCAACTCCAAGAAAATCCCTGGTAAGTGTTTAGCATATCTGAAGGCAAGAGAAACCAGTATTTTATTACTGTGTTAACAACTGTGTATGAAGAACATAATTAAACCAATCTTGATTTATGTTTTTGCTATGGGAAAATGGGCATCAAAGAATGTAAGTATGCTTGAGTCTCCTTGTTCTTATCAGACTGTTTGTCTTGTGCATTTCTACAAGATATTTTAAACTGTATTCACAGAGTGAGAGTTATTAAGTTTGAAGAATAAAAGAGGGTAGTTTTCCTTATCAGTGAGCTCATTTGTATGTTAGAAGAATTTATGTAAATTACCATAGAAAGACTAAGACTTAAATTTCTATAATGCAGAGGACTTTGACAAACAGTTGGTGTAAATTAAGAAATTAGGGATACTCGTAGAGGACAGAATCTATGAGTGATTGCATAGCATATAAGAATGCATGGTATAGTCTAATATAAGAGTTTAATAAATGGCTCTTTGCCAAATCCATTTTTTTAGGAGGAATGGAAAGTACTAAACAAGGTTGGAAAATGATATGACATAAAGCTTAAAATGGTTTGATTGGACATTAAAACAACCTGCACTGTGTGACATATCACACCCAAAAGCTGTGATATATCATGAAGTATTGATAAAGGACATTAGACAGAGCTTGATTAAAATTAGCATTTGACAAAAAATGAAAAATTCTCATAATCACTTAGTATTAGGGAAATACAAATCAAAATTATAAAGTGAAAGCACCTTACACTTGGCAGAATTACCCATATCAAAAAAGAACAGATGTAATAACTGCTGGAAAGGGTGTGGATAAAAATGAACCCTCGTAACTATTGGAGGGAATGTCTGGTCCATCCCACTTGTAAAACTATTTCAAAAACATTGAAAATAGATGTGCTATGTGATCCAGCAATTCCATTACTAGATATATACCCAAAGAATACAAAAACACTAATTCAAAAGAATATATGTTCATTGCAGCACTATTTATAAACAAGTTATAGAAACAATCTAAGTATCCAAAGACAGATGAGTAGAGTAAGAATATGTGATATATACATATAGTTGCATACTCTTCAGCTATAAGAAGGGTGATTGTATCATTTATGGCAAGTTGGATGAAAGTGGAGGGATTATGCTAAGCCAAATAAGTCAGAAGGAGGACACATGCTTGATTTCACTTATATGTGGAATGTAAAGAAAGAAAAATTATTAAAATTTATGAACATATAAAAATTATAAAAGAAGAAAGAAAACAAAGCAACAGGCAAACTTAAAACAAACAACACCTAGAAATCTGTAGAATTGACATTATCAGATGAGTAAGATGAAATGTTAGGTATTTAAGTGATAGGGAGCCCAGTGGACTATGATGAAGGATTAAGGCTGCTTTGGTCGTAGGTGTGGTATGATAACATATATGAAATGTTACAATAGCTAAGCTTTGGAAACAACCCAAATGCCCAAAAATAGATGACGGGATCAAGAAGATGTGGTACATATACACCAGGGACTATTACTCAGCATTCAAAAAAGATAAACACATGCAATTTGCAACAACATGGATGGAGCTGGAAGGGATCATGCTAGCGAAATAAGCCAGAAAGAAAAAGAAAAATACCAGATGATCTCACTCATAGCAGGAATCTAGAAAACTTAAATAAGGGACCAGGAAAAAGAATAACTATAAGAAAGAAATATCAAAATCAACAAACAACTATAAGCCAGAGACACTCTATGGGGGGTGGGGGGCGGGGAAAGGAGGGCTTGGGGTCAAAATAAGGGGGTTGTAATTGTAAGGGAAATATAAAAATAAAATTTAAATAATAAAAAAAGAAATAATAAAAAAAGAAAAGTTGTCAGCCTATACCCCTAAAAAACAGAGTTTGGCAAACCAATGTTATCTCAATAAAAATAAAATTCAAAAATTAATTAAAACTCTGAATATAAAAATAATGCTATTTAATGTTTGTATTCCATGAAGTTTATACTTTTCATTAATGGCAATGTGTATATCTATGTAAAAACACACATATACCAATTTTATATATTTATATGTGTGTTTGCCTATGCATGCACAAATGCATAAATATATGTACATGTAACTATTGATATAATGGAAATAACATATTGGAAAGATGAAAGTATTAAAAATTTGAGAGGTTGTATGGCATTTTTTTCAACAAAATGTAATTGAGCACATCCTAATTGTCTGGAATTGTGCTATGAGTTAGACATTAATTAGTAGCATTTAAAAGATTTAAAAGAAGACCCTTTGTTCCTAGGATGGGTAATAGGAT